AAGAAGAAGAAGAAGAAGAAGAAGAAGAAGAAGAAGAAGAAGAAGAATCTAGTAGTCTATAGCTAACAAGCTAACATCAAGAAGGGACAGGGCAGCATGACTTTAATTGCTCTGTCACTTGAGGTAGACTAGAGGTTCATCTGTGATTAGTTTGTCATACTTTCTTATCCACTGCATAGGAGACTAAAAGGCAAGGCTTAGGTAAGCAACAAGCCCAGAGGAGAAGATATCCTAAGTCAGAGACAGTCTGTCTTTCTGTAGATTACAGGTGAAATCCAAATGAAGCAAGAGAAAAAGAGACCTACTCATCACTTGACAATTTATGGGTAATATTCAACTTGATACTGAAGTGGGTTCAGTGGTCCAGCTGAAGGATGAGCCTTCTGAATACTGAATATAAACCTCTCCCATGGCAGCTGGCATTTCTTCTAACAGAAAGTCACCAAACAACAGAAAGCTATGTTACCTCGGAGGGCAAGGGTTTGGGTTTTACAATATTCTTTAGGTCGTATCTTTCCTGGTTCCAGTTGCCTATCAGAGTACGATTTGAGTATGAGTTCTCATTAGTGCTGCATCTCCACCCGTACTGAAAAAACTTGGACATGCTGTTCCAATCTGTCCATACTTCGCCATGACCATCAGCGTAAATAAGGCTGCCATAGTGTGGGTTTCTGAGGAAGCAGACAAGGTTCTGTCTCTGGAAAAACGAAGAACATAAAAGCTTACTAAGCAACCAGAGAGCAGAGAACACATTCATTTCAATCTCTGCTTTACAGGGCAAAGTGTTAACACAAGCACACCTATTAACACTCTAGGCTTTTGTCCAAATGCAATTTGTATGGGTTTGATTCTTTCTCTTCAGGTGAATGTACTCATTGACCTATCATGTCAATCACCAGTAGAAGACTACAAATGCCACTGTCCCACAAAAAGCATTTTTAGCATCCCCAACACCATACGAGCAAAGAGTTAAACAGGTTTTAATATTTATTTTATTTCACGTGCACTGGTGGTTTGTCTGCATGCATATCTGTATGGGGGAGTTGGGTGCCCTAGAACTGGAGTTACAGACAGCTGTGATCTGCCATATGGGTACTGGGAATTGAACCCAGGTCTTCTGGATGAGCAGCCAGTGCTCTTAACCTCTGAGTTATCTCTTCAGCCCTGAGCTAAATGTTTGAGTGATTTCAAGATGTAAGAGTTGAGGGTCTAAAGGTATTGCTACGGAGAGAATGAGAGGCGAAATGCTGAACAGCCAGATAACACAATAAATGATTGACAACCACTTCCTCTTCCAGATCAGCTCAAGTAAGAGAACTCTCCTTTGACCCACACAGAAGTTCTCTTCCCACCGTTCACTTTATACCTTTCTGTGACAGGTTCAGGAACATGTGACATTTAATCCACTCAACCCCATACCTGCTAAGAACAGGATCTGAGTTTTGTTCATTCAACAGGATCTGTTGTTGTTCCCAAACAACAGCCACCATCCCAATCAATAGTTCTTTGCACATACCAGATGTAAAATGTCTAAGTTTTTGGCAAGTAATCAAAAGCCCAGCTTTTTGTTGTTGTTGTTGTTGTTGTTGTTACAGAATAAGCCTGGTCCCTGGGCTAAGGAGCAAGACGATACCTGTATTATTGATGAGTAACTTGATGGTGAATACACTGACTTGTTTGAGTATCTCAGAGAGAAACAGTAATCCTTATATGGCTCTTCCATGTTCCTTAAAGATGTCTCCAAACCCTATCTTGCGGCTCTCCAAACAAAGGAATACAGATCAGCATGGACACATGGCCATGGCCTGAGAGACACAACCCAACTGCCTTCTTACAGGCAGACAAAACCAAGAGTGTAGCAATGAAGGGTGGGATTGGAGGTGACTGCCCTCACATTATCTACCTTTGTGAAGATAGCTGCATGCATGTGCTGACGTCACCAAACAGCATGATGGCTTGGGTAGGTGGACCCAGGAAGCCCAGTGTGCCCAGTGTTTAGAGTTTAGAGGCGAGGCTGACCCAAGAGCTAGAATAACAGACATCTCAGTTGTCTGAGGCAGAATACCAAAGCTGATTTCTGACTTTCCTTTGGGCATTCGGTCAGTCAGTCATGACATCTTGTCGTTTCTGAATCAGCCCACTGCCTTTATTCTTCACTGCCCCTTTCCAGGCAGACGGCTCCTTTTGTCCCCTTGGCAGCAAGCAGCTTCTGTTCTGACTTCCTCATCACCAACCTTGCTCTTGTCTAAGCCTTCCCCGTAGGAGAGCAGCTTTTGAAAACAAAACAGAAAGGGCAGTGTCTTCCTATTTTAAATCGCTTAGTGGCTTCTGTTGTTGCTAGAACACCTGAAATTTTAACTCCAACACTACCAACGTTACCTAGGCCATTTTTGATGAAGGAAGCTGTGGCACGTGCCACAATCAAGCAACAGGTGATAGCACCCATCAGTTCCCCAGAGAGGGCGCCCTAGGGGATATCTGAGTGCACCGACTGGGGTCTCTGCTCAGATTGCAGGGACCACTCAGGGCAGCTTTTAGTCTCCAGGTCACTTTCCCCTATGCTTCTTTGCAAATTGTTCAAGCATCCTTCCAGGATTTTTTTTTTTTTTTGAGACAGGGTTTCTCTCTAGTTTTCTGAGCCTGTCCTAGAACTAGCTCTTGAAGACCAGGCTGGCCTTGAACTCCCAGAGATCCACCTGCCTCTGTGTCCCAAGTGCTGGGATTAAAGGCTTGCGCTACCACCACCTGGCTCCAGAATTTTTTGTCTTATGGTCCTTAGAGTGTTCTTTAGCTAGGTCAGCCCAGGGTGGGTGCTTGGATTGGGGATCCTTCACCAGTGCTAGGAGGGAATGGATGACTTCAAGACTGTTTTGCAGTTCTCCACTATTCAAAGGCAGACATGACCGTCCCATCAAAGTTAGGGTGACATGCCTTCGTTTTAAATGCAGTATTGGGTGGAAAGTTGTTTTTTCTGGCGGCTGCTTTATCAGGCGGATTGCCCAGAACAACAAGCTCTAGCCAAACCCATAAATTAACTTCATCAACCTGGGTGTTATAAAAGTTTTCATTTCACACTCTGAGACCTCTTCAAGCTTCTTTATGAGTCTCCTGCTGGCTGACATACTGGGTTTCTAGTGGCTTTCTATATTCTCAGAATAAGATTTAGGCTGTTATGGTTACAACACTCCATATGTCCTGGCCATAATTGAACTCGTCAGTATCACCTGTTACACACGCTCCTGCCGTGTTCAGACAATCAAATGTAACTGCCGTTTTTTTCTTCATTATGCTTTTGTAAACATTATTTCTTCTGACTCTAATCCTTTTCACCTAGGAGAAGTGAACACCCGCCCCCACTTCCCATTAGCTTTCAACACAGGCTTACAGGCACAGGGAATCTATTCCTCCTTTCCCCAACTTGGTAGTGTTCCCCCTTGAGTGTGCTTTAGTGGGAGCTGAATTCCTTCACTCATCGTGGGTCCACACCCCATTGTATTAGAGTTGTCTCTTTTGCGGTGTGCATTTGTTATCAGACAGTGGACAGCAGACAGGCCACTTCTAGTACACCCAAATACTTAACTTGCTCTCACAGCGCCCTGGAACAAAACAGGCAATTGTCTTTTGTTTTTCTTGGAAATAGGATATACAAGCACCTGGAGAAATGTTGAGCAGCAGCTGAGAGACAAGGAGCTAGCCATTCAGGAGATGGTGCACGTACAAAATCCTATGCCGCTGGAACACGCAGGATTCACCTCGCCCCTCAGTTACTGGCTGTTTTGTGACCTCAAGCAGGTGTGATGAAGATGCTCAGGTCAGACCCTGTACTGAAAAAGAAAACGAGCCTTTCGAGGTGCACGAAGGTGGTGGGGCAAGGCCGATAGCTCCATCGCTCTCTCAGGCTTGTTGCTGTCTGGTATTGGCACTGTTTAACTAAGCAACCACACGCTGTTGATGCGTCATCAACTAGTGCCGGGCGGAGAAGGAGGGGGGGAAGCCGAGGCCGATGCGAAGGAAGTGATGCAAAATGTGCGCTCCAGAGAGCGCGGGCAGGGAGCCAGAGGAGACCATGGTTCCCCGGCGCCTCCTGTTGGTCGGGGAAGGGAATTTCTCCTTCTCCGCGTCTCTGATCGACACCCTGGATCCCGGCGTCAGTGTTACCGCGACCTGCCTCCAGCAACCGGCAGATGTGGACCGGGATCCGGTGACCCAGGAGAACCTACAGCGCCTGCGCGAGCGAGGTAGTGGGTCCCACCCCTCCTCCAGACCCCGCCCAGAGCATGGGGGTGTGGCTCGCTTGGGGAGTGCGAGTGCGCCTCCTGGAGACGCTCACATAGAAGTGCTGCGTGCCCAGGCCTGGGCTGGATTGCGGTTCTGTGTTTGTCTGGGTTACAGATTTTAAGACGTCTTTGGTCTTCGTTTCAACTTTCTTTGCCAGGTATCGATGTTCGTTTTGGTGTGGATTGCACCCAGCTGGCACACGCCTTGCAGGCACACGACAGAGACTTTGATCGAATTTATTTCAACTTTCCGCACTGTGGACGAAAAGCGGGAGTAGCTAAGAACAGGGAATTGCTTGCCAAGTTTTTCCAGAGGTGAGGAAAGACGAGTCCTCGGGTGCGAAATGTTTCCAGATGTCCATACCCAAGTTACCACACACAAACTTTGTAGTTGGGGACTTAAGACAGACACGTGTGTAAGTTGCTAGGATATACGTGGGAGGAAGGTAAAACCCAGAAGAAACCACAATCTTGTCTTAAAGTGGGTCATATAACCCTAGATGTAAAAGCACAAATAGGCCTTAGGAGGAAAAAGGCAAGATTATTTTTAAAAATTTAATTAGTGTTTGTCTGTATGTGTGTAATGTATGGGTGAGGAGGTCAGACGGCATCTTAAAAAGGGGTCCGTTCTCCTTCCATTGTGAATCCGGGGGATAAAATTTAGGCTGTCATGCTTGGTGGCAAGTATCATTACCCACTGGTCCATCTGATGGCCCCAAATTGTTTGTTTAAAAGATATTTTAGCAGGGTAGTGGTGGCAACGCACACCTTTAATCCCAGTACTCGGGAGGCAGAGACAGGCAGATCTCTGTGAGTTTGAGGCCAGCCTGGTCTACAAGAGCTAGTTCCAGGACAGACTCCAAAGCTACAGAGAAACCCTGTCTCGAAAAACCAAAGTAAAAAATAAATTTATGTATAAAGGTGCTTTGTTGGCATGCATGTCTGGGCATCATGAGTGTGCCTGGTGCTCAGGGAGACCAGAAGAGGGCATTGAATCCCCAGGACTGGAGTTACTGATAGGTGTCGCTATCATGTGGATGCTGGGAATTGAGCTCTGAGCAACCAGTGCTCTTAACTGCCAAATCCTCTCTCCAGCTCACCCCCAAAATGTCTTTAAATGCAAAATAGTAAGAGGCAGGATAGTTTGATGACTAAGAGCATGGATTTAAGAGCCACATGGCCTGGGTTCAAGTGCTGGCTCACCCCTTACTAGCTAGAACTGTAGGCAAGTTCAGGCCTTACCTGCTTCTTTTTCTGCACCTATAAACTGGGGCTACTATAGTGGCTGCTTCTTACAATGATTATGGCTTTGCAATAGTGCTTTACACCAGTACACTACACTGATGGGTGTTGGAGGGCTCCACTGGGCTGTAGGTTTGAGAAACCTTTAGCAAAGGCAGTGTTTCAAATTGGGCAGTTGCAGTATAGATGTGTGTGCATGGTGATTATCAAAGCCAGGGCCTTATGCACGGCGATGTAGTGCTCAACCCAGCCCTTAACTGTGAGAAGTTTTCCTAATGGGGAGAACCAATGCAGAGTGAATTATATGTGGGAGCCTTGTGGACACTGATCTTTCTGTGACATATGGAAAGCAACACACATGCAAAGATAGACCTTTGCAAGTAAGGTGAATTTTAATTATTTCAGAGCTAAACCATGTGCATGTTGCCGGTTCCTTTGGTGGTTTCTGATACATTTCTGTGTTTGTCCTCTATAAGCTGTGCTGATGTTCTTGCGAAGGAAGGGGAAGTCCACGTGGCCCTGTGTAGAGGACAAGGTGGAACTCCTGCTGATAAGCCTCAGAGAGAGTGGCACAACAGTTGGCAAGTGGTCGCCATGGCAGCCCTGGGAGGGTTCATTTTAAGCGATGTGTATCCCTTCAGCTGTGAGGCCATGCCTGGATACAAGTGCACTGGATATAGGTAAGTAATACCGTAGGCCTAAACCTTCTCTCCTCCCATCTCTGGCATGAAGTCATTAAAAAAAATAAATAAATAAAAATAAAACAAAAGCAGACTTTTTCCTTTCTAACTTCCTGATTTAGTTTCAAAAATACTTTTCTTACTAATGGTAGCCCTCTCTCTCTTTCTCTCTCTCTCTTTCACGTACACACACACACTTACACGTATATGTTTAATTTCAACTAAAATGTAAATAAATAATAATATTTAATTTAAAGAAACTGTTTGTTCATTTATTTGGCAGGAGTCAGGCTAAGTCGTTTCACGTAGAAGGCGCTTTGAACCATATCTTCACCCAGAGCTCACCCTTCGAAGGCTCTCAGCCCAGAACATTCAGGGTCAGACTGGAAGACCAATGGTTTTCCTTTACAGAGCCAGAGGCACTTGCAGGGAAGTTGAACAGGTAATCTTTTATTTTGCTGGAAATCATTTCTGTTCCTACTTGTACCATGATCATCTTAAGGGTCGCCACCTTTGGAGTGGATAATGTATGAATCATTAATGAAGGTGCCGTGGGTGCTTCAGACTGATAGAGTGTAGGGCTGGTGGCAGACGTCTAGACCATATGCTAACTTTCCAGGCCTGGGAGTATCTTGCCTAGCATGCACCAGGCCAGAATTGACTCCCATCACTGAAAATAAATAAATAAATAAATAAATAAATAAATAAGCCCCAAACCAAACCAAAAAATGTACATGCTATCTCAAAAAAGTATATGCTATTTCTTTATATGACAAATGATTTATATTCAGGATTGGTTTAAGGATGATTGCATTCTACATAAGAACAAATGATTTTAATTCCAGCAATTATAGCTGTTATTATAAGTGAAAAATTATTTTGTGTGTTTAAACAGGCGGTTCCTTGAAGCATCTTCCTGTCATCCTATCAGAACCATCAACGAGAAGCTCATTGCTGGATTGGGCAAACACTTCCCTTTAAGAAGACTGCCGTGTTCCTTCCCTTTGTTGTCACAGGGAGGCACCAGTGTCCTCCCTCCCAGGACCTGCGACCCGTCTGCCTTTTGGATTAGTCTCCATGAAGATAACTCTTATTCCGAGTCCCTGACTGCTGAAATAACAGAAGAAATGGAAGACATTCTCCTCTTGTTTTCTGAATGTGCCCTTCCCAAGAGTCCTGGGAGAGATGACTGCATAGCAGCTCAGGAGGGACTCCGTGAACAGGCTAAGCTCTGTCTTAGATCTTCTCTTCTAGTTCACGCTGAAGCTGTCATCTGTTCACCAGACTTCCTCCCAGGGCCTCTGCACATCCTCAGTGGGCCTGTCTATCGGAAGTGCCATATTTCACCGTTCACAATGCCAGCATTTCATGAGACTTTACTTATCCTTGGGTTAAATAAAAATGTGAAGGATAGCTGCCTGGCATCCCTGCTGGATCACCTGAAGGATATTCTAGATAACCTTCTGACTCAGACATTGCGGGAGGGCTCCAATTTGAGACCTTCAGTGGGATATGTCCTTCAACCAAATGGAAAAGATTATGTAATTCATGTGAAATCTCTTAATTTTGGCCCAGATTGTACTGAAAATCTGATTATTGGGGCTGTGGTCACATCTATAATTGTTTCACATGAACAACAGTGTTTTGTGTTCGTTTCTCTAAACTTGGACTTACTAGCCATGCTTGTCTATGATATTTCCGATTGGAGACTATTGTGGACTTTTGATAACCGTTTCCTGAAAAGATTTGCCCCTGGGAAAACAGAGCGCTTTAAAAGCTATTCCCTGTATCCTCCACGCTACGTGCATGATATTAGCTTTTGGTTAGACAAAAAGAAAGGATTTGATGAACTAGAGTTCCACACCGTGGCCCGAGCAGTGTCCCAGGACACTATTATTTCCATACAGCTCCTTGGTCGTTTTCAGCATCCGGAGACTGAGCAGGTCAGTCTCTGCTATAGATTGACCTATCAGGCTTGTGATAGGGCGCTCAGCCCACATCTGGCAGCAGCAATGCAGTCCCGGTTTAGAAAAGAGGTTCAAAGACAGCTCCATGTTTCACTTCGATAGTTTAGTAAGGCCCTTTCTATAGCGGGACCCCTCACTGTATGTGGTATGTGGGTGAAAAAGAACAACTTGAAACTGTTACTCCTTTCTGGAATCTGTGGATTTTGTTGTTTTTGTTTTTTTGGTATGTGTTGTATGTAAGATTTTTTGTTTGTGTGTGTTTATGTGTGTGTGTGTGTGTGTGTGTGTGTGTGTGTGTGTGTGTGTGAGAGAGAGAGAGAGAGAGAGAGCAAAGTAGTGTTCATGAACCCAAAAGATATCTGTGAATATCATTTAATCCTACGGCCTGGCTAGGCGTAGTGGTGCTGGTGCTGGTGCTGGTGCTGGTCCTGGTGGAGGTAGTAGAAGTGGTGGTGGTGCTGGTAGTGGTGGTGCTGGTGGAGGTGGTGGTAGAGGTGCTGGTAGTGGTGCTGCTGCTGGTGGTAGAGGTGCTGGTGGTCCTGGTGGAGGTGGTGCTGGTAGTGCTGGTACTGGTGGTGGAGGTGCTGGTGGTGCTGCTGGTGCTAGTGATGGTGGTGGAGGTGGTAGTGCTGCTGGTGTGCTAGTGGAGGTGGTAGTGCTGGTGCTGCTGGTGCTGCTGGTGCTGGTGCTGGTGCTTCGATCTTCAGAGCCTAGTCCTCAGAAGGCAGAGGCAGGCAGGGGTCTGTGTTTGAGGCCAGCCCAGGCTATATAGTGAGGTCCTGTTCCTAAGAACCAAACCAAGCTAAACAAAAAACAAACAAAAATACCCTTACAGACTAATGTCACTGGTGACCTTGTAGTTCAGTTTTTTGATCCTGAGTAATGATTGAAGCACAGACAAAACAAGCATGTGTGCTTCGCTGCGCTCTTGCTGAAGAGGCTCTAGTCGGGATGTCTGACCACACGTGTTTGTAATTATTTCCCACACTCTCAGTTCCTCTTTATCATCTCACTGAGTTTCTGAGTCTTATTGCATGCGGTACACATGTGGGATTGATCATCCCTTACACTGCTGCTTCTGTCATTGACTGTCGAATCCATGTAGCTCAAGTCTCAGAGCTGGGCCTGTCATCTGGGTCTTTCTACCTTACTTCTCCCCCGGTTTTCAGGAAAGGAATGAGGTACATGTGAGTTCTACTGAAGCTGGATGTTAGGGCTTGGTAACTAATGACTGTATATGGGAACTGATCCGTAGGATCAACCTCCATTTTTATTATTCTTATTTGGATTTTCAAGACAGGGTTTCTCTGTGTAACAGCCCTGGCAGTCCTTGAACTTGCTCTGTAGACCAAGCTGGTTTCAACTCACAGAGATACCTCTGGCACTGCCTCCTGAGTGCTACGATTAAAGGCATGTGCCACCACCAGCCAACTTGTTTTCTCTCTCTCTCTCTCTCTCTCTCTCTCTCTCTCTCTCTCTCTCTCTCTCTCTGTCTGTCTGTCTCTCTCTCCCTCCCTCCCTTCTTCCCTTTCCTTCCCTCCTCTCTCATAAAGTGTCTTTGTAAATGCCTCTGAAACCAAGAAGTCCGGACCCCTAGACCTCTTTAAAAACAACAAAACTCTTCCAAAAAGGGGTTTTGTTGATGTAGCGAGAATAGTATGTTTGTACTCGGTCCTCAATTGGAATACAGTTCCATTTATTAGCCAAACAACTTTGAACCTTGGCTTTATCAGTAAAAGCAAGGTGGCTGGGAGAATTAAAACTATGTCTGTGAAGTGCCAGCCGCTGCGCCATAGTAGCAACCGCCACTGACAAATGCCTGGTTGAGTTTTTGCGTAGGATTTCCTCGGACTCACTTCTCAGAATTCTGGCCTTACTGATTTGTCTCTCAAGAGTTATTGGCTGCCTCCATTCCTCTCAACAAGACATAGCAAGGTGTGCGGTGCCCTTTAACGGAACACTTTGTAGCTTTGGCAAGTGTGGAGTGTTGAGAAATGGGAAGGGAGAAACACCCAGCGTTAGAAGTGGGAGGACTAGCTCAGGCTGCTGATCCGCGCCTTCGTCCCAATTGGTCCAGTGACACTGTATTTTAGTCTTTTCTGCGCATGTCAAGGCTTTTTGTCCCTCAGCGGACACCGTTCCCTAGCCAAGCAATGTCTGCGCACTCCCTGATATCGTAGTGTGCGGAGTTCTGTCCTTTCCCGACGCTTGGCATGGCGAGCCGAAGGGCCCGGCAGCGCCTCAAGGGCGGCGGCGGCGGGGACACGGGCCCGGCGGCGGAGAAACTGCGGGAGCTGCTGGGCAGCCGGGAGGCGGGCGGCG